CCTCACACCCTGACCGTAATGCATCAAGGGGCTGTCGACCTTAGCGTCAGGTCAGCATCTGCCAGGATCACATAGCAGAGCAACATGATTGGGAATTCAAAATTTAGGGAACCTCCTAATTTGAAAACTTAACCAATGGTAGAAGTGGAGGAGTGGATTTCTCTTGGAGTCTGGGGTTTGTGGACCTCAGAATTCAGAGAGAGGGCATTCCACCTCGAGGAGTCTTGACACAACTTTCGGCAAAGTCGGACACTAAATTTACAACTATGGCCCTTCCGTAAAGTAGTATAAGTAAAGTCCAAATTAAATATATTAATAAATTCAGTGTATTCAGAAAGCTGGAAGGGATTAAATGACCATTAAGTGCAATGGTCTAAAGTGTGTGTGTGTGATTGAAGCAGAAAGGTTCTTCCTGCCCTGCCCGAGCCAGACCCTTATAAGACCCGGGATAGGAACTCAGCTCTACTGATTACTGAACAGAACCCAGTTGCTCCCGTCTTTACCTGCTCTCGCGTAATAGCTCCAGCAACCACAATTCTTCTCCCTTTCCATCTAACTTCTCGACATCTACGAGAAGAGGGAGGACGCTGATAAGTGGAGCACAACGTAGGATCAAGGAGGACAGCAACAGCGTGGCGCACAATGTAAAAGGGCCCAAGGAAGTGAGCGGTTACAACCTGTGTCGTAGAAGTCTGCCGCCTGGGATTGGAACCACTGTGTGACAACCATCTCTGCCTCTCTGTCATTCTCAAAAAGCTGACGCTCACCGGATAGGAATTTCTTGAGGTGTAGGAAAAGATGGAAATCACTGGGAGCGAGGTCCGGGCTGTAGGGTTGATGATTAAACACCTCCCAGCTGAACTCCTGCAGGAGAATTGCTGTCTGTCGAGCTGTGTGCGGTCTAGAGTTATCATGCAAGAAGACAATACCGGCACTAAGCATCCCGCGCTGCTTGTTCTGAATGGCCTGTCACAATTTCTGCAGTGTTTCACAGTAACGCTCAGCATTCACCGTCTCACCTCTGGTCAGTAAGTCGACGTGGAGAACGCCCCTTCTGTCTCAGAATACCCTGCACATCACTTTCCGCGCTGACGTCTGCTTGAATTTCGTCTTACAGGGAGATCCACTGTGATGCCAATGCATTGACTGCTGCTTGGTTTCTGGGGTAATGTGTGCAATCCACTTTTCATCACCTGTGATGATCCGTTCCAGAAACTCGTCGTTGTCATCGTGGTACCGCTGCAGAAATGTCAATGCTGACTCCATGTGCTTTGTTTTGTGTTCTGGTATCAGTTGCTTCGGCACCCACCTGGCGCACAATTTCCTGAACAACAGGTGCTCTGTGACAATTTCGTGTAACAAGGAGTGGGAAATCTGTGGGACATGACTGCTGAGTTCCCTAAGTGTGACGCGACGATTCTCCATAATGCATTCCCGCACAAGCTCCACCAGGTCGTTGGTAATGATGGATGGCCGCCCACTGCGCTTCTCATCATGCACACTTTGTTGACCTGCTGAAAATTGTCTGCACCAGTGACACACCATCTGCTTGCTCATGACGTTAGGCCCATAGACCTGGCACAGCTGATGATGAATTTCGATCGGCGCTATGCTCTATGCATTCAAAAACTTTATCACTGACTGCACTTCACAGTTGGCGGGAGCTGGAATAAGAGCCTCCATCTTCAACAGCTGCAACGATGCTACTGTGGGAATGCGGGAAATTCCATTAGTGCATGCGCCATGCTACGTCATTGCTCTATCACGTACGCTCAGTCGCTTCATGCAATATAAGGTTTGCTAGCTGTGGGACGAGTGGGAAACTTACTTTGTGGACATGCTACATACGACCGGGACCATCTACTGCCACCCCACGGAGGCCTTATATGGACCCCCCTGGGCGACTCTCGGGTGATACGCGGAAACATACCCTTGTGAAAATTGTGATGAGCGAACAATTGACGGGGAAGTATCCTTCTAGGCAGTGCCGTGTGTGCGCTGTGCACACGAAGCAAAGCAAGACTTTCTACGTCTGCAAGTTCTGCGTCATGCCTCTTCACAGAGGGGAATGTTTCCAGAAATATCACACTCTGAAGCACTTCTAGGAGCTCTGGTAAGTCTTCTCCAAAAATTTTAGTTCATAAAATTAATTAGGAGATTTTATATTAATTTTTAAAGTAAACAGTGCACAAGTTAGGGTAGTAGGTTTAAAAACGCCGGTCCCCAGGGTGATTTAAATATTTAAATTACCGGTCCACGAAGTGTTAAGATTATTTTTGTGCGAACCTCATATTTTGTATATGTGATGTGATGTAATCTGTGTAGACTTCTGAGATAACATGATTATGTGTCACAGGTGGTGCATTAGCAGATGGCTTTCCAAACCGATATTTTGAATTCCAAGACTTTGAGAGGAAGTTTGAAGAATGCATATCAAAGTCAGCAGTGAGGACCAAGTTTGATCAGCACTCGCAACGAGGGAAGCTTATCGTTACAGAAATATGGACAATCATGGATGGGACATATGACCAGGCCCAGCAGCTGAGGACAGAGAAGGCTGTGGCGAAGAAGGAGATCCATGACAAATTGAACTTCACTGAGCAGCAGTTGTTACTTCTGACGCAAGAAATGAAAGACAAGATCCGTCAGATGGTTGAAGATGTTGAACAGAGGGTCAGTCATTTCATGGGAATCTTTGTGATTGAGTTTATTCTTATGTAAGATTTGAGGTTTTCACGGCAGTGACTATGAAGAATGCCTTTTTCTGGGATGTGGCGCCATGTAGATATGTGTTAACCAACTTTCGGAAGGATGTATCGCCTCCATCTTCAGGGTATAAATCTGCGAGTGATGAACCAGCATGAGCAGGTGGCTGCACCCTGCAGACTCATTGCTCGCAGATTTCTTATACCCTGAAGATGGAGGTGATACGTTCCTCAAAAAGTCGGTTAACACATATCTACATGGCGCGACATCCCAGAAGATGGCATTCTTCAGGTTTATTCTTGTCTGTCAACATGTAATGACAGTTAATAAAACATTGCTTTCACACTGTAATACTCTGGTTCATAAACAGGCGAAGGATGAGGACTGGTTTCTTCCAGTTTTGAAAATAGTCTCAGGTAATTTTTAGGAGCCTGCTCAACCTTGTACATGTACACACACCCAGTTACTAACCCTCCCCGCTGCCAATTTTGACAATTTTTGACTATATCTCTTGCTGTTGTCATAATAATTCATATTCTGAAGCAGGCCTTTTGTTTTGTCTCAACATTTTTCATATCAGAATCATCAGGATGTGATGAAGTTACCCCTTTGTCTTAAATTGAATGATATATGATTTTTTTGAACCAGACTTCCCATTCTGACAGTACATGTGTAGTTGAGAGATGGCTATTTCTGACTGCAAGCACTGGCCATAATGAGAGCAAGGAAAACAAACAAGATGGGGGACTCCTCAAGATAAATCATGTAACAGCTTCCCTCAGTGGCATGTGATGATGTTGGATTCTGTAGGCCTCTCATGAGAGGTGTATGCATAGGATTGTCTGGATGGATAGGCTGGAAATAATGAATGCAGTAAATGACGGTACAGATTGGAGAAATATTATTTGTTGTGTAATTCAAGATTGCTTTAATTTCAGGTATCCAAAGCATTAAGCGAAGAGATCCGCCGCTTGTCCGTGTTGGTAGATGAGTTCAATTTGCCATTCCATCCCGAACAACTTGTTCTCAATGTGTACAAAAAAGAACTTCATACCCATGTGGAAAATGGGCTGGGCAGTAACCTGCGGGCCAGATTGTCCACTGCACTTGCAATGAACATCGAGAACAATCAGCGCGAAATGACAGGTGATAAGTCTGCCCAATGTTTTATGCCACTGATTGATTATAAATTTATAAGATTTGAGGTTTTTATGGCGGTAACTATGAAGAATGCTGTCTTCTGGGATGTGGTTCCTTGTAGATCTTATAAATTTGATAGTATAATATACATTTTCAGGTTTTCACAGTGATGACTGTTCAGGTTGTGGTCTTCTGGGTTGCAACACCACATAAACTGCACAGTGTCACAACCCAGAAGGTTATAATCTTGACAGTATAACCCAGCAGCATATGTAGTATTTAAAATGGGGGAAGTGTTTTGAAAATGCATTGAAACAGGAACTGTATGTATTTCTCAGAGTCGCGTAGCATGTATCCTGTTGGGATGATTCCTGTTCCTTACATCCCAAAATAAATTCTTTATCTAGATTTAATAGTAAGTGAAGGCTCCTCTTATTGTGTGCTTGAGTGGAAGGGGAGTTGATCTGATAAATTAACTTGCTCTGCTTCTAAGTATTGTGGCATATAGATGTATAGTTTTCATGTATTGACAGTAATCTTCAATGTTATAATGAAAATGAAGATTGTGAGGAAGAAACTGTTGAATAAATTTCAACAAAACACCACAAGATATCAGACAATCAGGAAACCGATGAGGATGACATGACATAGCATGACCAAGTGACTAACCTGGATGTTGGGGAATTTATTGCTGGACTGCAACTTTATTTCAGATGGGAAGACAATGAAGGCAGTCCTATATCTGCACTAGAAACCTGCGCTGATTTTGTTTGGTTGCAGTCAGTCAAGGGAACATGGCAGTGCATGCTCAATGAATTCCCCTGACCTAAGACGCACATGCGTTTTAAATATGTAAATGAGTCAAATTTGTTTCTGGGGTAAATATTTTTCTATGATTTGCACCAGTTGTTTCAGCTCATCTAAAGTCAGTATTTTTGTTACTTAATAAACAGAAAGCTTATCTTTTGTCTTGTGTACGTACTGTATAACCTTTTTAAACCTTTACATACAACTTCATATATTGGGGCAGCTGCTTAATTGGAGCAAAGTACTCTAGTCCTGATGTGTCCCAGTTAACCAGAATCCACTGTATGCAGCTACCATGCTCAGTAACACCACTGCAAAGAAGCATGTTTCCATGAACACAACAATTACACAGCAACACTTGACTGCAACAATAATATAGGGAAGTGGTGTTTTCTGTGCTGAGACATTATAAGCAGGACAAGTCTAGTGACAGACAGGCAGTCAGATGAGAGTTGCTGTAGCTGAGTCCTGGGACAGTTCTGGAGCAAAGAAGAAAGGAAAAAGAGGAACATCCACCATTTTAAGCTGTTACCAGAAGACTGGTGAAGACACAGCAGACTGAGAAGACTTACGTGTGTGCTCTAGTGAACTGTAAAGTGTGTGAATTAGTCAAACAGTCATAATTACTTGTAGTCACAGATCTCTAAGCATATCAAACCAATACCCATCTAGGCGTTCAAAATCGTGACACTGTTCCTGGTGTTTTTACTTGTGTTAACAGGCAGTACTCACATATGTGATAGTTTGGTCCAATCTCGGAAGCAGAAGACGATTCAATTTTTGAACCAGATAATGACAGAGTACAAGCTATTAGTGGTATATCAGTTGGTGAGTGGGAGTAAATCAAGAGATAGATTTAAGTTAACAAGTAAATGAGACAAAGGTGAGATTTTTATTGTGTGAGTAAATACAGTGTTTATTTGACATCGGCCTGGGGCAGAAACTCAAATTACATTATGGTGACTGAAGTTTCTCACAAGCCTGCATACTTGTCATGTTTTAATTTTAAGAAGAGATGTAAAGTGTTTGATAGTGTAAACAGGGGGATGGGATTATAGATTTATTTACTTGATTGTCTTAGTGTAAACATAGGCTTGGTCAAAACACTACAGTAAACCCTCGCGAATCTGTGTTAATGGGGGGTGGAGTCATGTGGATTGAGCAATAATCTGGATTAATGCAGCAAAAGCTAGCCCTAAAAAAACAAACTTGGAACACAAATAAGTGGAGAATTTAATAATATAAGTAGTGCTGATGAAAGTAAATAAAAGATACCATTGTAGAGGCTTTATTAAAAACTATAAAAAGACACGTTTATTTATTCATCAATAGGAGACTCAGAAGTTGTACCTGTTTTTGGATGTAATAATGCAGGTGTCAAGAAACTGACACGTTTTGTCTGAACAGAGAAGTGACTCATCTGCCTTCCTAAATGCCATGTGTCTTTTAACCCTTTAGCGCGGTCATTTAAATTCCACTGCCATGTCTCTCCGGCGGTAATATTTTCAGCCGACCATTTAAATTTTGCTCGAAAATGATTTATTCATCATTATTCTTAAATTATATGAGATAGNCTTTTTTCCGCAAACCACATCTTCTGTGTGGCCTTGCCTTCTTCCCCGTGGGGGGAATACAAGGAAATGTCTTTCTGTCAGTCGTTTAGCTTGCCAGATCGGCTGCAGTAAATTCAACCATTATGTTATCATAACAAGGGGTTGGTGCTATGCGTTTCATATTCCATCCATTTTGGCTGCAGCAGATGTCATAGGGGTGACCACAGAATTCATGAAGTTATTCTAAGAACTGGCTGGTATGTAGTGCACGAAAGCAGAGCTTAGTTTGCAGCAAAAAAATTATGGTCATCCCTCGACACGACCACCAAGGTCAGTACGATAAAATGGCGTCAACTGGAGCGATAATACATGAAGGAATGAGTTCTTTCCCCCCCACACACACACCCGTATCGTCACAGGGGGTGACCACAGTGTTCTGCCTTAATTCGTGACGTTATTCTAAGAACTGGCTGCTATGTACTGTGCGAAATCAATCGATCTTGCAAGAACAAATTTCTGGACACCCCTCTTCTAAGAATTCTAATTGAGTGGGTTGGTGTGACCTGCTCAGGGCAATATGATATTATTCACACAGCACATAAACGTCTTGGCCGTTTATAACTTCATGCCCAGAACACAGGCCATTCATAACAGTTTGAATGAGAAAATCTCTTCTAGAAGCAACACGATTTTGCTGGAAGACAGGCATATCTAACGATGACTTAACGCAGCTAAATTCATGTTTCATTATATATTGTTCTTCTGACAACAGGCCAGCGAAAAATCTAACAATCTACAGCAAAACCATCAATTATTATGGGCGTTATAACACAGGTGTGCAGCTGGACGATACATAGATGTTGAACCCCCGCGAATGATTTAAATCCCTTGACGAAACATACACATCAAACCGCGCTGAGTGGCTAAAGTGTGTACTTAACTGTGAACAACGTTTTTCATATTTCAATCCAGATTAACTGTAACCACCTTAGTGAGGGTTTTCTTTTACAATAATTGTAACCTTTCTGCATACCCTCCACTATTACTTCGTGTTTAGCTGACAGTTCACTTCAGATGACCTCACAAAACAGGTTCAGGTTTTGTCGTGTTCTCGAGTAACACGTAGCATTAGGATTACAGCCTTCTGGGATGTGACACGGTATGGTTTGATAGGAGACACCACTGTTTTGGAGGAACTGTTGTCACCACTATCAGGGTAGAACGTATTATTGAAGCAGAAGAAAACAGTATGTGATATATAGGGAAAAGTTTTTGCTCCTAGCCCTGGTCCCAGCATTATTTCCATATATATTGTGGCGTATAGTCTTGTGCTAAGCAGTGAATCTGTAAACATCAACCGTTGCTAGAGAACACCCGCAACACACATGTGGTCAACAGTACAGGAACAGTGGATGGACCATTGCCATGCAATGCATGTGCTGTGACGTCACACTGCAGTATGTGGCTGTCACGTGACATGTGTTTCCTGCATGTCCATCAGCTTGTGGATGTGCGGTGACATCACATAACATCAGTGAGTAGGGGTCACGTGATACGTGTTCACTGTTAATGTTGCTCCATCAGCTATATAAGTGAGTGGCAAAGTTCAGTTGAGTGCAGTTACGAGAGAGAAGTAGTAGTGGCAGAAGCATGTGAACGGAGCAAAGTGAATCAGGAGTACAGAAGGATACAGGAGGTCGGCCTGTGAAGAGTTTGTGTGCGAAATAGAAGACTTTATATGTGTGGTAGTGCAGTGGGATTGGGGGTGTGTAATCTAGTGAGATTTTTATAGTTTCTGTGTTGAGATCCGTTGCAAGGAGACGACTAGCGGAAACAGAGAATCCTAGTGTGTGTAACGGTGAACTGGAAAGTGTGTAAATCAGCAATAGCACTGTATTGCCTGTATTTAAGTGTGGTTAAGTGAGGGAGTGTAACCAAGGTGCTAATAAATCCAATCATCTGAACTAGAACCCGTCATTTCATCACATATACCACCCTACACATGGCAGTATACTGTCCCACCATTCATGATGACTTGATGCTCTTGAGATCAGTTCTTGGTTTACTTGTTACTTCACAGCAATGCCACACACTCATTGCACACATGCTGCATTGTACTTGTGGGAACTGCCAACATTCAAGCAAGTGTGACAACGCGAGCTTGTCGGCGCTCTCCCGCGTCAAGTCCGTCACTGCAGGATGTGGCCAATGCATTGTAGGATGGTGGCGCAGTGACAGACTCGATGTGGGAGAGCGCCAACGAGCTTGCGTTGTCACACTTGCTTGAATGTGGGCAGTTCCCACATCCTGAAGTAAGAGTGGACTGATTCTCACTCATCCAGCCGTCCGCTACCCCCACTCACGCACTAATTTGCTAAGTGACTTTACTGGCTAACTGGACACTGACTGCTTGCTCATCTGCTCTGTGGGGCCTTGAACTAACTAAACTGGAATTTCCTGTCCCGTGTGCTGCACTGAACTGATATTGTGGCTTTCTCTGAGTCGCTGGTGGAAAGAGTAGGTTAATGGGGCGACCTTTATACACTGCTAGCCAAAACAGTGGCAGCTACTTATGGATTACTCATGAGGACAGAGATGCAGAAAGAAGCCCTTTTTTATGCTATTGTTTTTGTGTATGTGTAGTCAGTTGAAACTGGTGGTTCCATTAGTTCTTGTCACTATAATGAAGTCCTCATTGTAAGCCATACTCACTCTGTCCATGGGTTTACTGTTTCTCATCCTGTCCATCTGTCTTAGTCATGGCAGATCCGCTAGGTCTGCTGTCTAGGAAGTGCCACTGTATGAATTTGGATTAAGTTAAAATTTGCTTTTTAAGGTTTAGTTGGATTTGTTTAATTTGTTAACATTACTCTCACGGTAACTTTAGACTCTGTTGTCATCTGGGATAGGGGAACTTTTAGTCTCCCACTGTTGTGAGGTTGATGGCTGAGGGTAACAATTTTCATGAAGGAATAGGTGACTTTAAATATTCCAGTAATATGAGTCTGGCAGTCTTATTTCCACTTAGGGCTAATGGCATTACTCTTGAAACACAGCACCTGAACACTTGGACCTGGCAAGTGCATTGTTGGAATAGCACAGTGCAACCAAACAGAATAGTCCCTACCATACTTCACTCACTGTTGAATGATCTCAATCACAGTGTGGTGCTCAGAGCAGTAAAGAAAGTGACATCCTCCAGTTGGTGGCTTATGTTGCTGTATAGGATTCTCATATTTTTGTAAGTGAGATTTAAAATGCTGTAGACTAATTCTGAATAGTGTTCATTGCACCAATTTAGTGTCACAGAATTCAGCCTTTTAAATTGAAGTGTCATGTTGTAAGATTAATTTGCACTCATGTCTGCTTTTTTGTAAGGTGATGTAATGCATTTTATTCAAACTCCATACAAATGCAATGGTTTCTAGACTTCCCTTTCCAACTATTTGAGGTGGGATCTCAGGAGACGGCTGCATTCCAACAGGTTTCCACATGAAAGTTTCACATTTGTCTCTTTTCCTCTTGTGCCTATCACTACTGGGAGAGCTTTATAAGTCACAGAGTTCCTCACACTGCCGTAACTTCCATTCCATATTTATTCCAGTACACCTGTATCCAAGTGTATATGTATCATCCTTTTATTTCTAGAACGAATGTCAGCTCTGCTGCCAGCAGACAAGAAGCAGGTTTCTCTTAATGTATTACCTCGACGAGAGCCCTTTGAGATTCTGTATCGCTTAAATTGTGACAACCTATGTGCTGATTTCCATGAGGATCTGGAGTTTAGATTTTCATGGGGACTTACTTCTATCATCTCTCGTTTTGCTGGCAAGAAAGCACCTAGTCTTGCAATTACAAACTATTCACATCGGGTAAGTGTGTTATGATTTTCACTGTCAGTTTAGTCTTGGTTTAAAGGTTTACTTTCCTTATTTTAATCATATTTAGGATATATTAAGGTCCTCATTGTTCTCAACTATGGTGCTGTTAGCATTATTAACATGCGAATGTCTGAAGAGTTCTTCTGCATGTGTGTGTCATGTTGATATTGCAGCCCTGCTCTCAAGGAATATGACATGCCACTCTCACCAATGTCAGAGAAACTGAGAGGACTCTGCGTTTGTCATATGTTAGAGTGTTTTAATGAGTGTACCAGTACAGGGACTAGGGAGTTACCAGCTGTGTGGCAGTATCCCTCTGCATGCAAACATCAAAGCTCCTGGTTTGAATACATACTTTTATACAATTCAGTTACAGCAGCATAAACCGTGGTTGCAGAATAGTCCCCAAAATTAGTAGATGATAGAAAGCGCTCTAAATTGGAGTAGCTGCAGAATTCCCTAACTATAATTTGGAATTTCACACACAAAGAATTGCAGTATACTATTTATTAACTATGTTAGTATGCAATAAATAACTAGCAAATAAATAAAAATGAACTATCATGTCTTAATATAATTATTCTGTTCATCCTCTTTAAGTCAACACGTTTCGTTACTGTGGTTGTGGGAAAGTTGCTCATTATCTTCAGAGTCGTAGTATGTTTTGTGTGGACTAAAAATAATTGGGAAGGAAACTGACTTGGATTAAAACCCATGCATGTAAACAGTAAAATTAACGATTTTCCTATGGTTACAATGTTATATTTAAGCATCCTGTTGCACTCCATACGATAAATGATATAATGATACAAATTCTGTCCCAAGTGCAAACAATATATTATGTGTCCTTGATCTTGTTCCTCTTCACTACATGTTTCGGCCTCAGACGGTCATCATCAGGTGTATAACACTCACGTTGCTGTCACACTGCACCCAGCCCAAAATTTAACATTTAAAACACTTTCCTTGTTATTATCAACATCTACTTTGTTGATATCTGTCTGGTTTGTAGATTATTTTACACATGTTAATTTTGACGTACCTGTAGTAGCACTATAAAATCTTTAGTTCTAATTTTAAAATCCTTTAAAATTTTTCTCTAAATTTTAAATTTAAAATTGTTAGGGTTACTCGCCCTATGTTTAAAGTGCTGCAGAGGCTAGTTCTTGTTTCCACACTGTATAGGTGTTATCCTGTGTAGTCTTCCTGTGTGCGTGCCGCTGTAAAGAACAACAGCGGCAACTTTCAAGTTGTATAAGTAACTTGTGTCTTAGGGAGGAGCAGCACACTGTTAAATGAGAAGCCAATACTCATTGGATAAGAGACTGAAGGCCCCAGAGCATGTCTGGATGCTGTGGAATAGAAGAAGATCTCTTGTCCCTTCTGGGAATTGAACCCCAGTCATCCAGCCCATCTGTCACTGTTCTGATTGAGATATCTCAGCTTCTGTTCAGTTCACAGTAGACTCAAAAAGCAACCCTAGCACAGTGATTTAGCAAACACATGGAACGTGGTTGTCACTTATAAATCACATCAGAGTCCTTCAGTATTACACAGGCTTTGTGGTGGTGGGAAGGATGGCTCCATTCTTCTGGCACAGTGTTGAAACCATAGAATAGCAAGTGTACTCAAAGGCAATAGAGGAGATGGGATGTTATAACTGAAAATCAGATTTTTTCCTAAGATTTCCAATTGCAAATACTGAGAATGACAGCAACAAGGAAATTTATGCTCACTTTCAACTTGGAGCTGAGGAGCTGGCTAGAAAGCACAAATGTTTATTCCAGGAAAATTGAATGTTGTTCATGTGGAGGTTTTGGTGGGACTGATAAAAAATGTGCAGAGAATCAAGGAAAATATAAAGTCAAGGAGCATAAAATCAGGTTTCACTCTGTATGGATTATCAAGATTCCCACAGTATTCTGAATAATATATTTGTGCCTGTGTTGCCCCCCCCCCACGCTTTTACCACTGTTTTTAACACAGAACGTTGGTGGGTGGGTTATTATGCATGTCATGTCTGTATAGGGTTTTTGGTACAAGATAAGGAAAACTATGAGACCTCTAGGACAGTTGAATGAAGTTTAGTGAAGTTTTAATTATAATGGTGGCACAAATGAATAATATCCTGTTTCTGAGCAGATTAGGAATCTTCCCCTTTATACATGATGTTACTCATTGATAGAGCTACAGTGATTGCAGTGTATGTACATTTTTGTGTTCAAGTTGGATATGCTACACATACAAGGGAAGGAACATGTTTACAAACTCTTTCCATTGTAGACTGCAGTGATAGTTATGTTGTATGTTACAGAAACATGACATGAATGTGATGTTATTTTATAGATTCCACGTGATTTGTTGTCACCATCTGAAAATCTTGATATGGCACACATGAAGTTACCTTCAGATAATACAGACGACTGGTCACGTGTGGTTTCTAGGATAGCCATGGCTTCCATTGGCTCACAAGGGACAGTTGGTGGACTTCTGGTTGCAGGATTTGTAAGTTATATTTGCACAGTGGATAGATAACATTGCATAATATGCATAAGCAATATAAGAAAAACACATTTTGACAGAATAAATGCTACGGACACAGATGTCTTAAGATCACACAGAAATGGAAATTAAATTCAGACTTTTGCATAGAGTCCAAAACAATGATTGAAACAAGTTTGAATTATCTTAACTTGCTTGTTGTTAATACCAGCATTGTATTTGACTGCACAAGTCACTAATTCTGAAATAGGAAGAAATACAATTTGGCTTGAATGTAGTGTGACACTGTTTGCTTGAACATAGTACATTACTACTGTCAAACAATGCTTTGTCTCTGTCTGTACCCTCCACACTTTTTCTAAAGAAACTAGAACCAAAAATGGTATGCTCCAAGTACTGATGAAGTTGCTATAACGGTGCACTGTTTGTAAACGGTGAAGTTGGCAACAGTACATACTGTAGCTTATTCATTACCACTTACTCCAACCTCCATCTTATCATTCTCTTCGTATTGCATATCCATGTGCAGCTGCAGTGTACAAGTTGATGCTAGTCTGAGGGATACTGCACACATGTTCTGCTAAACATAAATACTAAAAGCTTGTGCATATGAGCTCACAAATAGTGAAAACTTGAAACAATTAAAGTGACAAAAGAAACTGGAAATTATGCTGCTGGTGGAAAATGTATTAGTTTCTGTAATAGAAGAAAAGATTTGTGAATATGTGAGAATTGGGAGTTTGAATGTGCAATATCAACCCACAAAATGTGCAAGTTTGAGGCTTTAGTAGTGGCAAAGTAACATGAAATCCAGGGTTTCAAGTCAAGAAACAATTTATGTATTAGAAGAAAAAAAAGTGTCTCCGAGAGGCAGGTGTTGGATCTTTGGAAGTGACGCTGTGTAGCAGAAATAGGTGAAGAATGTTGTGTTCAAATTTGGGAACATTATGTATTGCATACAGCTGTACTCAACATATATACATTAATACATGAACAGCATGAATTGTTAATTGTTGTGTGGATGGAAATGAAGGTTTAGCAAATGTTTGAGCTGACCTCTCTTCCTCTTTTGTTCCACACATTTGTTCACAGAACCACAACCACTGTCCGTTACTCCTTCATGAGTTCATTTGTGTCACTTTCTTCGAGTTTGGAAAACTTGTAGGGGTAAAGTAAAAAAAAATAAAACTATCCCCATACCAGGCCATGAAGGCCCATAGGGTTGTGAGATGTTGAGGGTCCCACATTGTCTAGACAATCGGCTCAAAGATGGCGGTAAGGTTGTCAGCCCTACGCGCTGGCCGCGCTTTACTCCCCAAGAAAATTATTTAACTAATTCTTGGTACTCATTTCTGTTAGAGGCTGAGGGTGCATAGATTATCCAGAACACTGCATGGTTCTTCTAATTCTTGTAACACATATTCCTAGTATTCATAGGTCTTTGTTGTTAGAATTACAAATTAACCAGATTTTGAAATATCAGCAAAAAAAAGCACATAGAATAGATCTTATTGGATAGTGATTGACAGTTACTTCGAATTATACAGGATTTTGATTTATCAGATAATTAATGGAGCCTTACCGTGCTCTTAAAATGCTGACATAGAAATTACCGTATTTACGCATGTATAGGCCGCACATTTTTTGCCAAAAATTCAAGATGAAAACTGGGGTGCTGCTTATATTCGAAATATTCGAAATCACACTTCATTTAAAAAAAAATTATATTCATAATTAGTAATACAGGGTGTTCAAAGATCGAGGAAACCGGGGCAGCAGCGTAGAGTGGATGGAACGTTTCTCTGCGACTACTGTGCCCCTCCCCGCTAGTGAGAGTGCAGTCGTGTCGCTGATACCCTTACATCAGTTTCTGTACATGCACACATTTATAAGAATACTGTAAAAAGATAACACAAACTTACCGTGCTTTATAACAGGTGCTGAAAGTGACCCCCTTCTGCTTGCAAACATGCTTCGCATCGCATGAATAAATTATGCGACACTTTCTGAAGTTGGTCCATGGTAATTGAACCATATTACTGTTCATCACTTGACTCGTTACTGTCGATGTCGCTCTCGCTCGAAGTTTCGCTGTCAGGTGATGTCAGCCATACAGCGTCATCTTCAGTCCCGTCCATTGCGTTGGAAATGGATGTGACTTTAAAACTTTTGGAAACCATTTCTTCTGGTATGGTGTTCCATGCAGCCACAATCCACTCACACATTTGACTTAATGAAGGTTTCTTCAATCGTCCAGTCGGCGTCATCTCCGTGGAACCGCATCTCCAGTCCCGGTAAAAGCGCCGCAAATGAGACTTGAAAGGACGGTTTATTGACACGTCAAGTGGTTGTAACATGCCAGTCATCCCCCCTGGTATCACAACCATATCACTTTTCTCCTGCCTCATCTTCACTTTCACATTTTCAGTTAAATGGCTTCGAAAACTGTCAACCACTAACATTGACCGCTGACGTAAAAGTGCGCCTGGGCGCCGAAACCACACTGATTTCAACCAATCCAGATAGAGCTCTTCTGTCATCCATCCTTTTTCTTGAACTCTCACCAAAATTCCCGGTGGAAGCTTTTCTTTCGGCAATGTTTTGCGTTTGAAGATTACAAATGGTGGTAGTTTGTTTCCATCAGCAGTGATACCAAGCATTACGGTACACCGCTGCTTTTCTGCTCCTGCAGTCCGCACATGCACTGTTTTTTCGCCTGCTTTGTTCACTGTACTTTCACCCGGCATTTCAAAGAACACAGGAGTTTCATCAACATTTCCAATAGCTCCCATGGTGTAGTTGTGCGTCTTTCTTAATTTCAGGACATGTTTTTGAAATGCAAGCAGTTTCTCCTGGTATGTGTCGGGAAGGCGCTGCGCTATTGACGTCCGTCGCCGAATTACAAGATCATGTCGGGCCATAAAGCGCCTTGCCCATCCATAACTTCCCTTAAATTCATTACGAGGAATTTTCATTCTGTCCGCTATTTTGAGGCCTTCAAATTGAATCATTTCCACAGACACTGAAAATCCATCCGCCCGTGTATTACGCACGTATCGCAAAAGTTTATTTTCAAGTTCTGGAAATTTAGCTTTCTTTCCGCGGAAAGATTGTCGATTTTGTGACGTTTTTTCAAGGGCATCTTTCGTTAGTATCCATCTTCGCACATTTTTTTCGTCAACGTCGAATTTTCTCCCTGCTGCTCGATTTCCGTGTTCTTGTGTGTAACACACCACTTGAAGTTTAAATTTAGACGTATAACCTGCTCTTACTCAACCCATGTTTCACTCAGAACTAACCAGGCAAGTCAAGTAAAGGCGAAAATGTTATAACTCTCCCCTGCAATGCCTTTGTTCCGAGCAGTACCGTTATTTTCGCTAGTTGCGAACTTAGGAATGTTAAACGTTGCCAAATTTCGGAGTAATTTCTACTCCTGAAATAATATTCCAAGAAAATAATTTTTTCTATAATTTCTGTCTGAAAATTGTGCTGCGGCCTATACACGCACGCGGCCTATACATGCATAAATACGGTAAATAATATGTGTTTACAGTTTAAATAAAGTTTTAAGTTTTATCTTATATAGAGATATCTGAATTCATTTTAGCGGTAAGGAACTTTGCAGGGTATATTGTCAGTATTTTAAGCAGTTTCATGAAAGTATTTTGTCAGTTTGTATCCAGGTATCAGAACTTGGTTCTTGTAGATTCTAAGACAGGTGAATGCCATGATGGTAGCTATGGTGTTTTGTTAGCATGATCATTGCCAGTCCCTTGCCCTGTTAGGTTGAAATTTACCACTTACTGGTGCTGATCTTGTCAAGTGATGATCTGTTGCCAATGTAGCCTGCTGAAGCCTCAAAGAGTCAAAACCTACAGTAACTGCCTTTTTTTTATGTGGTTTCTTCCATTTCCTTTTTTTAATATTAAGTTAAAAATACAATTCCTGTGAAAAAAAATAATTGGCTCAACAAGTAAAGAAATCCGAGGATGACTAATTCTGAGATTGTGATGAACTCTACTGTTTCTGTACAGATGCTGAAGACAGTTGGATGGAGATTAATTCTCATCACAGGTTCAGTCTATGGTTTAATATATCTGTACGAACGTCTGACATGGACCAACAAAGCTAAAGAACGGGAGTTCAAACGGCAGTATGTCACCCATGTGACAAAGAAACTACGACTGATTGTTGATTTGACATCTGCTAACTGTAGCCACCAAGTTCAACAGTAAGTTTTTTATCCAGAAGAAAGTCATATAAAGTACATAATGTTTAGTTTATCCAGAAGAAAATCATATAAAGTACATAATGTTTAGTTGGACATGAATTCATGTTGCACGGTTACACCTTCTTGTTTAATCAAGTGTACTGAGTGCTATACATCAACCAGCAACCAACCAAGTGTCTAGTGGTCTGATGATTATCCAATGTCTGTTCTCTTCTGTGTGTCCTTTCTGGGTTTCTTCTGCCACAATGTCCTGGTCGTATCTCTTGTGCTCGTGTCCCAAGTGCCGTGCCACTTTTGCGCTGTGGGTCATACTCATTCCAGTGGCGACCAATTTACTCTGGGGTCTCTAACCGTCTAGTGCGTTAAGACCCTTTGCATTGGGCGTCACTCCTTCTTACCGTCCTTCTCCGGCAGTCCTCTGAAGAGCCCTTTGGTTGCTGGTTGCATCTGCTCCTCTAGCCGTTCCCTCTTACCTGTTGTTACTCCGAGTTGGCAGGTTGCTGCTGCGTCCTTCCTATCCAGTTCTGTTCCCCTTTTTGTTGTTCTGGTGGATAATAGTTTGCGGGGTATGGGTTATCGGAGTGCTGGGCGCCAGTAAGCTTACTGTAACGGCTTACATTTCGGGG